GATGCTAATGCGCACCAAGATGACGAACTCCTCAGCACACGTACGAAGTGCCGCACATGAGAAACACATAGGCAGAAATGGCCGACGCGCCATGCCGACGCACATAGGGGGCGGCCATTTCGGAATGCCGATGGCAATAGAACGACCGTATTAATTTTTTTTTTCGTACTTGATTCTAACGCGCATGCGATTTATGAACTCGCTTAACCGGAAAAAAGGTGCGCGTTAGATTCGAGTAATTACGGTAATCATCGGCCGTAATTAAACCATCGCAACAGATGTCTAATCCGCTCTCCCAGGTCAAAGTCGACGACGCGCTGCCACAAATCGCTGCCGCAGTTCGGAAGCATCATGCTAGGCATCAGGCCCGACGTCGGCGAGCGAAAACAGTTTCATGCGCATGTAGCTGTCACCGCCGCCCACGAAATATTCACCATCTCCGCAGCTGAATACCGGGTTGCCCGAAGTGGCAAGTGGCTGCCAGGTGGTCAACAGCTGAGCAAGCACTCCGCAATGCGGCACTTAGTATGCGGATTACCCTCAAGTCAAGCGATCACACTTTCGACGTTTTGTTGAGCGGCAGGAAAAAGCGTGCTAGTCCTCCCGTCGGCCATCATGACCACACACGCACACCAAGAGCGAGCAAGACGCGCACACGTGACACACGGGCCAGAATGCGTGGAAAGCTCTGGGTTCGAAAACGAAACTAATTCGAGCCAGCATGGCGGGCGTCGCGGAGTTGTGGAGACGGGCGAAGGGGTTGTGATCAAGAGAGGAGAGCAGGCTTGCGAGAGAAGGGCAAGAAGTTGCGATAAAGAGAGGGGAGGATGCGGGAGGGCGACCTTGAAAACCAAAACACGTGGGAAGGAGGCAGGTGGGGTAGCTTGCTTGAAAGGTCCTGCGAAACTCGTACGTAGAGAAACTTGGAAAGAGTGCCTGCGTGTGAAGAAGTCAAAGCATGGCTGCCTGGATCGGTGCACGCGGCGGTGTTCGAAGAATCAGTGGCCGTGGTCAAAAAATCGTTTTGTTGCGCCGGCGGGTTTGCGTGGCCTCACGAACTTCGATATTTCGCGATTCATTCCGTGCAAATTAGCATGCCGTTTTCGCACTTCCGCACGTGCGGAAGGCATGCTGATATGAGTGTGAAGTGAGCGAGAGCAAGTCCTAAACACCGAAACGAATCGCGAATTATCAGAATCGGTGGGGTAGCGAATGCACGTGCACTAGACGCAGACTATCGGATATAGTCAGTGGCAGACGATGTTGGCAAATGGTCTGGTCACTCCAGGCCGGCAATGCCAACTGAACGTCAGTACCAGGGATCAAAAACGGGGTAGATGGCGGACCGGTCTTCGAAAGATCAGTGGTAGTGTGAAAACACGGGCCTCGTTTGGCGATGCGGGGCTCAGAGTAGCGGGCGGACAAGGAGGGAGGACACAGCTTTCCTTCCTCCGTGGGTTGGGGAGAGCGGCAACTAGAGGGTTCCGGAGGCAGGGTCGGCGTTTAACAATAAGAATGCATGGGCACCTCGCCGATGCTTGATTGGTGTTCGAAATCGGTTTCCCGGGAAGTTGGCAGACCGCTGACTCCGTTCGCTGTAACCGATCAGCGGCGCTCGGAGCCGTTTGTTGTAAGTGCAATTTTGTGCCATTGAACCAATGTATATTTTCAAGGTCACGCGGATATCGTTTGTTTTAAGCGAAAGTTCGTTTTAAGTGGGGCCGGTATATGTGGGCCCGACTGTATTTATCTGCTGTGTCAGGAATAAAGAACGAGGAAGCATAATGAAATGGTTTTAGGTGTATTAGGACTGCTTTCACTAGCAAACCTTATCATGATCTCTCATCTTTCTTGTAGTGTTTGTGCCCTTGACATGCTTCATCCACAGATTGCACCAGTACTATCAAAGATCATTCTTATCTCTCTTTTATCATCTTTTACCATGCTTACCGCTTTCGTGCTCTTTTTGCGCGCTAATTGCACCAAACTAGGCTTGTGCGAATATATTCGAACGAATATCATTGTATTTGAATTCACATTGATTCAAATTTAAATAACTGAAAATTTTGATGTATTCGAAATCAACAAATAGATGTATATTAGGCCGCATGTAACCCGCTGTACAGGTTGTTTTATTGTAGTAGAGAAGTGCTAAGTCATGAAAACACCTATTCAAGTGCATTCTAGCCCTAATGTTACCTTCTGTAAAGGTAGTTTCGCTGTATTAAAGAAATGTTAAGCCATCAAAACATCCATTCAAAAGAAATATGCACTGTTGCAAAGCCCAACATCAAGGTTAAATGAGCATGTTACCCTCACATCGATTTATCATTTTTTAAGTTTAAAATCTTTTTCTACAGGTTAATATGCTCTGAGTATATTTAGTTTTAAAACGTAACATATCTTACTGGTTATCACTTGCATTCTAATTATTCAAAAGAAATTCGCACTGTCGCGAAGCTCGACATCAAGGTTAAATGAACATGTTACCCTCACATCGATTCATCATTTTTTAAGTTTAAAAGCTTGTTCTACAGGTTTATATGCCCCAAGTATACTTAGTTTTAAAACATAAAATATTTTACAGGTTATCACTTGCATTCTACCTAAAGTCAAGTCCGGCTACTATTCAAAGTTGGTTTACACTTTCTTTGAAGCAAAAAGAATGGCACTTGCGCAGGCTTGTTTCAGTTTTGATAAAAACATTGTGCAGGTTAGTTGGGTCATGATAAATGTGCCCTTTGTTCTTTGTGTTATGAAATATGTAGGTTATTCGATTATAAAATATGCTACCAAAATCACTATTTGCTTCTCTCCTAAAATTCACTGTTTGCACAAGCCTACACAAAAGGATAAAGAAAATGAGACAAGGGTTGGATTGATTTGTGAGTATGGGCATAAGTGTGGACAGCTATTGAGAAAACTTTCTTGATTTGGACTTGACATCTTGTCGTTGTTAAAAAAACTCAATATGTGCCCTCTGAGCTAAGTGGACTTTTGTTGGTTGAATAGAGAAAGGATTGCTGAATTTGGTGCAATAAAGCACGAAGCCAAAGTAATTTAAACAAAACCCCAAATTAATTACAGTTTCACATACTGGAATTCACCATATCACAAGTTCACACTAACACTCGGCTAACCTGTCATGCAATATTGCATATAAATTTAGGGTGGTAGACGTTTTTTGAAGGAATAAAGAGGCATATTTCGTACACGCATGAAGGACATTTGTTGAATGCAGCCTTCAGCACTTGACTGAAGTTATTTAATTGAATTAAGGGACTATTAGTTTTCTATGTATCCCAAGACAGACGCTGGCGGTCTGCCTCATGGGAGTAGTCAATAGGTCGGTCACATAGGTAAGTGGTGTAGTTGAACAACCCTTTCAAACTACCTCAAAACGGACACATATGTATTTTTGCCACATATCTGATACTCGATATAAGTGCATATATCTTTAATGTCAGTGAGACAATCTTAATTTACTTTGACATACCCATAGTTTGTTACATCGATTGTTATACTGACGTTGACTGAACTGTGCATTGTATGCGACTTATACCCCTGTCACACGGCAAATATAATGTCATTTTATCTGCTTGCTGACACACAATGAAAACAAATGTAATATTGAAATGATGACCATGATCCTAGCCCTTCTGAGCCGTGGCTTTGTGAGAATAAAAACATATTAAAACGTGTGGGCAACATGCGTGCATTCGTTAATAAATTCTTTTAATGGGTAAAGAAGTTCTCTTAGAATATAAACGCAGCCATATTGCACAACTTGCCACACTTGCACGACACACTCAAAAAGCAACATAGCTGACAATATGACCGGCCGTGCGTACACTATGGTGTACTGTGAACTGAATCTGAGTAGAAATGAGATGGCGGCATTGATTTTGCGTAGTCACCACAACACATGCAATCGGATGATCAACATACATCATACAGTCAAGGCAAGGGACATGCCGTAGTTATTCAAATGTAATGCAATTTTTTGTCCCCAAATTTTTGTTACCTGAAGGGGACCCTCGCATTACAATCAAATACCGAAATTCAAGTTGTCTTAGATAGTGCAATGGTGTGTACAATTCTTTTATTTTTAGATGTGAAGCATCTTATGGTCGAGCTCAATCCGGTGTGCGGCATGATCACCCATACTGTTCATGTGTGTCCCCTCCCCCCCTCTCTCCACTCCCACACTTCCCTCTCTCTTGCTTCGCAATGCCTATGCAGGCAGCGCTGCTTGGGAGTTTCTTGATTGAAAAAACTGACTGCTCAGGCTGCACAACTGTTCACTGTAGGCACTGGATCTTGCACAACTGTTCATATGTAGGCACTGGATCTTGACTTCCAAGGTAGTGTGGGTAGGGGATTTCTCCTGTGCGTTGTCGAGCAATAAAAATTTTCAGCGTGCGCGTCAACTAAAAGTGGAATGCGTGTCTCTGTGTCCAATCGGTGTCTTCCACCTCTCACTGCCCATTAGCAACCATTGGCATATTCCAGTAGGGAACACCGGTCTATCACTGCGTGCTTTGCACCTCCCCTTGTTTCTCTCTTGCGCAACGCTGCGATGAGCGCCAGCGTCAACACCATTGCTAGTGCATGCGTTGGCGCCCGCTGCTTCTCATCTGCACATAGTTCTCTTTAGCGGGAAGTGGTCTAAGTTTGATTTATTTTTTGATCCTGGACTCATTGAAATGCCACCCCTCACGTATCAATTGTGGTTGTGTTACAGTCGCATAATTACTGTAAATAGTAAATGTCTTTTTTCATCAAGCCCACCTCTGGTGGTAAGCTCTGCCAAAATACATTTGAGTGCTGACATATATGTACTGCTCTTGTGCACTGTGTAATTCTTTTTTATGATATACGCTGCCATAAGCTATTGTGACATGCTATCTGGCACACCATAAGGTCCTAAGTTGCCTGTCCACGGTGCTGTGCATCCGAAACTGGGCGCTCAGTTTGGCGTGTTGTTTTTTTCGTCCCAGGATGATGTGGTCGGCAGGTGGCCTAGCTGCCGTCGCGAGCATCACTTACCCGGCCATCAGTTCTTTCGTTTCGACGCACGCCGAGGCGGACAAGCAAGGTGAGTGCCACGCCTGTGGCGCTAATGTGTCGAACCAACATTTCGTATCCGGAAACTTGCGTCACGTTCCTCAGCCTGGCATAGGCGGTTTAACTTCGTTGTGATGAAGTTGCACGTGATTTGAAAATGTGTTTATTATATATCCTTGTGTAAATTATTTGGATATCTTCCACCTGTTCACTGAGTAGACTCTCAGTGAACAGAAATCTATTAGCCGTAGCTGCTGTTTAAATAGAACTGGCTCTGTAATGATTGGTTTTGGACTTGTATCCTGCACCCCTTTTCGTCTCATTAAATGGAACATATTTTCCCAGTGTCTTCAGGTTCCATTTAAAGAGAGTCTGCTGTATACAGATTTTACCCGCAAAGAGAATCAGCAACACTCGATATAGACTGCACCACAACGTTTGAGATTGCTTGCGATCGATTAACACGCATTCATTAAGACTGCTAACATAGTGCAACTTGTCTGGTTTGACAGCTTACAAAGCCATTAGTGATAACGCTGAAATCTTTGATAGCACATTTATAAAAGCCGATGCACTTCATCTCTGGGCAGTTAACTTGAAGGCCAGTGCTACTCTTGTAAATGTCAACATGCCTGGCTCCCGAGTCACGCAAAATCGTTCAAAAGCCACGGCATCCTTGGACATGAAAGTTCAATTCAATTTTTATTTTTTCCAGATTAAACATGCTGGATGGTTCCGCTGGGTTAAAAGCTACATAAGTAGCTTGACGAGACCCAACGACCAGACTGTACTATAAGATACTGGGCAGTAACAACAAGCGGTTCTGTGCATTGGCGAGGAAACCAATAAGTAAAACAATTTAAATAGAAATATCCTAATTTCCTATACATAGAGTTAAATATTGCCACGCCCGAAACAGAGAACGAAGACGATGTGCGCGTCAAGAGCACCGTGAAAAGGGACACTGAAGAAGACGACATGCTTTTGTTTTAGCTCTCTTGCTCTTGGCTCCTGCATAAAAACACACGCTGTCGGTTCTCGGACTCAACATCTCGGTGAACTGCTTACGTTGAACTGCGACAATATAGTTCTAGTACGACAACTGCACAAGAAAAGAAATGAAATAAAATAAATACGCAAGCTTAAAAAGGTGAAAAAAATTGTTACATACAATAAAATATCATATAGCAATAAAGAATAAACATAAATGATAACAATACAAATTAGTAACACCGTATTAGTATAGCATTACTAGCTCAGAACAAAAATTGAACATTAAATCAATATATACAGATAAAATGTTTTTACAGAACTCAATGTTCATTCATTTTGCAATCATGTGTTACTTATTAAAAGAACAAGTTAAGGCCAGATTTTCATTTTTGAATTTATTGCTAAATCTTCACAAAGTTAGTGCCAGTGGGACATCATGAATTTCAAAGTCTGTTTGCGCATTTCAGCCACGTTGGGCTAATGGAATTTTCTGAAACGTGCTGTTTAAGACTGTGGCATTCGAAACGCACTGAAAGTAATTTTTAGCGACAAAAAATCATGTTGGCCCTTCAAGATGCTGCGAAAACCTGTGATATCATGGCTAGCTGGCACGGGTAGTTCAAGGGAGTGTTGCCTCTTTATCTTCGTTTTTGCTCTCAGGAAGTGCAGTGATTTTGATATATTGAGTTATTAACTAATACAGTCGTATTGAGTTATTATATTAACTAATACAGTCGGTTCCGGATATATTGGACCTGAAGGGGATCGCGAAATAGTTCGATATATTGATAGTTCAAAATACAAAATACACATATTTAAGGCCTAAATTAATGCATTTCAAGCCTTGGAAATCTCTCAATGTGCTGAACGTAAGGATTCACTCATAGTATAATGAAGAAAAAGGTGAGAACTGCAAGTTACCGCGCATAATTTCGCATGAAAATAGTGCATAAACTTGTGTTGCTTCTTGCGTGCCGTCAAGTTCCGATCATCCTTAATATCATTGAAGTTTTTCAAATAAGCGAATTCAACTCATTTGGCCACAACAGCGTTGATTGATGGACGATGCCGACGCAAGCTTTGAAGCACAACAAAAGGTTGATTAGCGCGGCAGCGAAGGCGTTGGCATTTCATAGTCACACGGGTACACCTCCGCAGCGCTGGCTACGGCGGCCATGATCTCAGTATCGATGCAGTCGGAAACAGCTACGTCGTCATCTACTCCGAAGAAGTCATGTCACTCACTATCTGAGATGGGGCCCAGAAATGCTGATAAGTCGCAGAATTCGAAGGCACCGTATGTCATTGTCGGCGGTCATGACGCACCCAAAGTTCACCTTGGCTCGCAAGGAAAGTTAATGACGGTACTTTGCTTGACGTCGCTCCAAGCGCCAGTCATAATTTTTATCTCTACGTGCAGGTCAACGTTCTGTTCAACTACCAATGAAGATTTATTTTGAACGAGGCGAGAAGTACAACAGTCCTACAAGGCGCAAAAGACAATGCCAAGCCATGATGCAGAGTTACCACCGACATGTTGGCGATGTCGATATCACTTGTGGCTTTGCATCTGGCAGCCGTTGCTTTCAGCTGCTTTGATGCGAAAAGCTAGAAAAAGTGTAGCCTCCGAAACACGTATTTTGAAACCAAAAACACCAAAAATGCATCATGAGGTTGCACATGTCAAAAGGCCAGGCTTTTCAGGCTCGCATGCCATTGTGCACTTACAAACGAGGAAGGGAATGCGAACATTGCAACAAGATTGCCAAGTCTCTTCGCATTCTCAATTTGGTATCGTCAGCAATCGGTCTTTTGCGAAACATCATGCCCGCGCATTAAGACCTGCAGATCACGCATCAAACGTACTGGTGCATTCGCAAGCGCTGCACAATGAGCCAAATCAGCGCGATAGAATAACACCGCCTTTTCGTCAGCTGTGTGTGAAGAAGGAATGGCGTGCTGCAGTGTTCGATGTAGCGGATGTCCTGATGTGCGGGAGTTTGGTATACGAGTGCATCGGTCGCATACTTTTGCATGGGAAATTCAAGGGGATTTCGCAGCTATTCGATACAGCCAATTTTTTGATATATTCAGAATCAACTGTATAAGAATAGACTGCTATTTGGCCTAGTTGGAATCGGTTCATGCTTACGATGCGCCTAAGGAAGACTGGGACAAAGCAGAGAATACACATGGGAATGCCGCTTTCCAACAACTGCTTTTATTACCGGAAAGCTAAGCCTCTTTGTTCAAACAGAACTGTGCAAGGCACTTCTGGTGCTATCTCAGCGTACATTGTGAAAACAATAGAAAAAGCAGTCTCAAGAATGCAGGTGATATGGATATATTTACCAGCGCAAAAACATAGAAACTTACAAAGAGACCCACACACAGCGCTGCATAACATAGAAACACACATACACCCACATGCTTTGCTGTTTTGATAGTTGCCATAAAAAGGCCTTGCGTTCAATGTTAAAAATCAATTGTAAGTTCAGTGCTGTGTGTGTGTGTGTGTCTCTTTTCAAGTCTTTTAGCACTGGTAAATCTGTCTTATACATGAACCAGCTTGCCCAAAGCAGCAGTTTCAGTAGGGGCACCTCTTTGTCTGATGCGACAATGGAAGGATGGCTGACACAATCATCTTTGTGCTGTGAATCGGTCAACCGACGGACGTGCCTTGTCGTACCCGTTTCAAATCGCCGTTACTTGGGTGCGAGGCAGCACTCGCGGCATTGACTGGTGTTGTATTGTGCTGTTTGTCTGCGTGCAGGCCTGGTGCAAGGCATGATCACAGGCATGCGCGGCCTCTGCAACGGTCTGGGGCCAGCCGTGTTCGGCTTCATCTTCTACCTCTTCCATGTGGACCTGAACGAGGCACCGCCCATGACCGCCCCACCCCTTTCTAATGGATCTGTGGTGCCCAATGAGCTTAGGGTGAGTGGAGTTATTGTGGAAGATAAATAATGTGCATTTCTTCTATTGGTTTCATGATTGACAGATTTATTTATTTATTGCTCATCAAGATACAAGGGCATTATAGAGGGTAATGGTAAAAGGAAAATGATGTGCAATTGGTTAGTAATGCTATACAGCAAGAAAGTAATACAAAGGAGTAGTAAGATGTTGCATTAGTAATACCTATATATATATATATATATATATTCAATGAAGAGAAGCCTAACTTTAAAGGCTCGTTTTTCTTTGTTAGACACAATATTATAAGTGAGAGCTAACAGACAGTTATTCCAGGGAAAGTGTAGGGGATGTTATTAGTAGTAATTGTAATGTAAATGTGAAGAAAGAAAAGTGGACGAAAAGGTAACTTGCTACCGGCAGGATCCGACGCTGCGACCTTCGCATAACCGGTCCGATGCTCTAACAACTGAGCTATAGTGGCAGTCATCCCTCTGTCCACTTAATGGAGCATAGATTAACTTGTGCGAATAGTGAATTTTAAGTTCGAAACAAAGAATGATCTTGGTCGAATAATATCGATTCGAATAGTATATATGGCATATAATGAAAAATGGGCATATTCATGATTATCTAACCCACCTGCACAATATTTAAAATTAAAGATTTAAATAGGGCTTTTATGTACATGCCACTTTTTTTTTTTTCATTCAAAGGAAGTCGAAACAACTTTGAGTAGTAGCAGGATTTGACTTTCAATAGGATGCGAGTGATAGCCTGTTAAATATGTGACATTTTAAAATTTGTTATACTTGGAGCACATTAGCCGTCACAACAAGCTTTTAAGCTTAACAAAATAATGAATTGATTTGGGCTTAATATGTTCATTTCAAAAGGACCTGCAACTTTTTCAAGTCCCCGTGAAATGGATTCACTAAAGAAGCTTATTGCCTCACGAATTCACCGCCACAAAGATTTTTAGAATCTGTCCAGTATGAGCGGAGTTGCAAATATTTGTGGCAGGCTTAAATTGCATTCTCTCTTCTCGTCCCGGTAAAAGCGCCGGAAGCCAAGCAGGGAGCGATGGCATAGGGGAAAAAAATACGTCACGTGCGCCTCGTGACCTTGAGCACTTTTTTTTTTCTTCGGCTACGCGGCTTTTCAGTGCAATTGCGCACGTATGCTTGGGAAAGTGGCGGCCTCCTGGGCCGGCCCCAGTAACGACCGAGCGCGCCATGCTCAAATCAGCCATAGCTGATGCAATGGTTGTGACGAGTGATTTTTGAGCATGTGACGTCATTTGCCGAGAGAAGAGAGCCATTTGAGAATTTATTGTGTATTGCACACTGCGTGCTGGGTCATAATCTTTGGCGAGTGTTCTTGACAGCCCCAACTATCCATCGGCAGCGGTTTCTGACCAAGCTCAAGAAGTGTTGCAGGGCCCCTTCAACTTTAAAGTAGGGCTTCACGGCTGTGCAGATTTTTCTTGGATAGATGTTTACACTGCTTTGTACCTTTACAGTGCAGCGAAACCACCTTTACAGGTTGTTACATGCACTTTAATATACACCTATTCGTTCATTCCAAATATTTCAAAATTTTCATCAATTCGAATATAAGCGAATTAATATACTCTACTATTTGTTGGAATATTCAAAGAATTTGAATATTTGCACCAGCCTAGTATATATGTGCATTTCATCGTGGGAGCGACAGTCAGAGCCACCTGTTGCCACTGCTGCGACAGCCTTTCTTGCCTGTTTGATCTCGTTCTGGCAGACCTCGAGGTGTTATGTGAGGGATAAATGGTCAGTTGCTATCTCGTAATAAGATCATGTGCTATGTGACGCCAAACAGGCAAGAATCAGCCGCCGCCTGCGTGGGTTACTCTCTGAATTTGGTCTCTTGGCATCGACACCCAGAAAGATGGCAACTGCGATGACAAGCCAGGCGGTCCAAACCAGCGATGGCCATGATTCTCCTCTTGCCCATGTTTTTCACGTGCCACAGACACCAAAGCCGTTCTATGGAGACATCTTCGAGGATGTTGATGACTGGCTAGACCACTTTGATCGGGTTGCCAGTATCAACGAATGGGACGATGTTCGCAAGCTGCGCCGAGTTTACTTCTACTTGGAGGATTCTGCGAAGACGTGGTACGAGAACCACGAGGGCTCCTTTGCAACATGGCAAGAGTTTAGCCAACAGCTTTGTGACGCCTATCGCAACACCGAAAGGAAGGAGAGGGCCGAACAAGCCATATCCAGCAGAAACCAACGGCCGAACGAACGTGTATCCATGTTTGTCGAGGACATGCTTCGACTCTTCAAGCGCGCGGACCCTGCCATGTCTGAGGAAAAGAAGGTGCGCCATTTGATGCGCGGAGTAAAAGAACAGCTTTTCGCTGGGCTCGTGCGCAATCCACCGACGACAGTCGCCCAGTTCATCAGTGAGGCAGCTACGATGGAACGTACGCTGCAGCAGCGGTCGTCACAATACGAACGCCAGATCCCGGCCACCACATGCTCTATCGGCTCTGACAGCGAGAGACAGACCCTCGCAGACTTCATTCGAAGTATCGTTCGGGACGAATTGCGACAGCCGCAGGCAGTGGGATCCTATCCACCTGTGTCAGCCCTCGCGAATGTAATCAGACAAAAAGTCCGGCAGGCCGTCACACCCCTAGCCCCAATCGCACCGCCGATTCCCGAGGCCCCAGTCCTGACATACACAGCGGCATTGCGATCCCCTGCGCCACCGGCTACAGATACTGCTATGCGGCCAAGGTACCAGGCTATGCAGCCATTTCACGACACTGCTTCAAGCCCACCTCTCGGCTCAAAGTTTTCGAGCCCACCCACCTATCCACCGTCTATCTCAAGACAAAGTGGTAGCAAGGCAAGCATGTGGCGCACCTCGCATAACCGTCCGCTCTGCTATCACTGTGGCGAAGCGGGCCACGTATACCGGAACTGTCAATACCGGCAACTAGGTCTCCGCGGCTTCCACCCTGATGCTCGATGCCCGCGCTACGGTGAGCGCCCCCGCAAAATTGAAGCCTATCTCACGGGCCAACGTACTCCTTCGACTATTCGGCACCACCAGTCGAGATCACCATCGCCTCGCCGGTCTACGTCACCCAGTTTGCCCTCATCGTCTTCCGCTTCTGTCAGGAGCCGGTCACCAAGTCCCCGCAGGGGAAACTAGGAACTGTGACTTCTGGGGGTGAAGTCGCGGCCCGGCGAACTGTAAAAGACCCTCCTTTGACGCAACGACCGGACGAGGGCGATTCCGGTTTTGCAGTGTTCTCGGACAGCAAAAAGATTGTTTCTGCCGAAAGTGCCGTCTTCCTCGACAATCATGCTGTTAACGCCCTCGTCGACACCGGTGCCGACTATTCCGTAATGAGCGCAACACTGGCATCTGAACTGAGGAAGGTTACCACGCCTTGGCAAGGACCTCAGTTGCGCACGGCAGGTGGCCATCTGGTGACGCCTACTGGTATGTGCACGGCACGCATTCGATTACGTACGTCAACATTTGCGGGCTCTTTCCTCGTATTGCGCGTGTGCTCTCGGCCAGTCATTCTAGGAATGGACTTCCTTCGTGAATACGGCGCCGTCATCGACCTCCAGGAATTACTTGTGTCGTTCGAGGATCCTTTTTGCGCTGCAACTGACAGTACCCTATTCCGGAAAAGGGCGCTCCGTGTTACCGACGATTCTCTGACTCTCCCACCTCGAAGCAGCCTCTTTGTCAAAGTAGAATTGGGACAGGACTCGTCTGACGCGCTGATTGCAGAGGCCAATTTGTCTCTCCTTATTTCACAACAAATCTGTGTTGCCCGAGGAATCATTCAGCCTAGCAGTAGGCATGCTCACCTGCTGGTCACGAACTTCAGCAACGAATATCGCCACCTAACGAGACACACTGCCATTGCATATTGTGAAGAACTTGCCGATGCCGATGGTCCGTCTACGTTAGCTTCATTTTCATCAAATGGCCACCCTGACGAGGCCTTCGTGAGCACTCTCGACGTAAACGAGAGACTACCTTCGGCTCAACGAGAAAGCCTTTTGCGTATACTTGGCTCACTTCAAGACTGCTTTGCCACTACGTCAAAGGTTAAGCCCAAACTCCATAAGCGCGAAAATGCACGCGACAGCGACGAGCGACGCTATGAGCGATGAAACAGGGCGTTCGCGCGACGTGTTGCGTGCTCGTTTTCGCGTGATCGCTCGGTTCTCCAGATTTGTAAACCGTCTCTCATCGCCCGGAAGTGCTGGGCTCAAGCAGCCAATAGCGAAAAACCGGAAAAGACGAAGACTACATGGGTGCACGTGACCCTGCCCGAGTCACGTATGCGCAACAAGAAATAACGCAATGTTTATTAAGCATGCGCATATAAAAAATGCTGCAAGGCAATAATAAACACTTTCCGTTCCATTACACAACAATATATCTTATTTTTAAATTGGAAACCGCTCGCTACGCGGTTTTCTTGGTGCGAGTTGACGGCCTCATGCCAGCAACAGTGGAATTCGCTCGCCGAAGCCGTCGCGTGAATGAGGTTTGCCTGCGCTAGCGACTGATCGCGCGACGCCGATCTACGTCGCGTCGCTCGTCGCTGTCGCGTGCATTTTCGCGCTTATGGAGTTTGGGCTTTAAACAGACACCACTTTCTCAACATCGTATCATCACGGAACCTACTGAGAGACCCATCCGACAACATGCCTATAGGGTGTTGCAAAAAGAGCAAGATGCTATACGTTGTGACCAAGTCCAGCAGATGCTTCAGGACGACGTCATTCAGCCATCGACCAGTCTCTGGGCTTCGCCAGTTGTGCTAGTGAAGGATGGTACGTTGCGTTTTTGCGTTGATTACCGTAAACTGAACAAGGTCACCAAAAAGGACGTTTATCCTCTATCCCGGATAGATGACTCGTTGGACTGTATACGCAATGCTAAATATTTTTCCTCCATAGATTTGCGTAGCGGCTACTGGCAAATCGCAGTGGACGAGCGCGACCGCGAAAAGACGGCGTTTATTACTCCCGACGGTCTGTACGAGTTTAAAGTGTTGCCTTTCGGTCTATGCTCAGCGCCAGCTACTTTTCAAAGAATGATGGATAAGGTTCTCACGGGGCTCAAATGGCAATCATGTCTTGTTTACCTTGATGACGTCGTGGTCTTTGCAGACACGTTTGAACAACACGTCCAACGCCTTCATGCAGTTCTTCAGGCAATTAGAACACCGGGGTTGTCTCTCAAGCTCGACAAATGTCATTTTGGATATGAAGAACTGAAGTTCCTTGGTCACGTTGTGAGCCATGCTGGCATCCGCCCAGATCCCGAGAAAACCCGCGTCGTTGCCGCCTTTCCCGTGCCCACAAGAAAGTGCGACCTACGCCGATTTCTGGGGCTCTGTGCGTATTACAGGCGCTTTGTGAAAAACTTCTCGAAGATTGCTGAACCCCTCAACAAGCTTACAAAAGACGGTGTCTCGTTTGTTTGGGGTCCCGATCAGTGCCACGCGTTCGACACCCTCCGAAACCTCCTCCAGGCTCCGCCTGTATTAGGTCATTTTGACGAAAGCGCTGACACGGAATTACACACTGACGCCAGCAACGTTGGACTAGGAGCGGTATTAGTTCAGTGGCAAAATGGCGTAGAGCGCGTGATCGCTTATGCGAGCAGAACGTTATCCCCAGCGGAGAAAAACTATTCTGCAACCGAAAAGGAATGCCTCGCTGTTGTCTGGGCCATAAGAAAGTTCCGCCCATACTTGTATGGCCGCCCATTCAGGGTAGTTAGCGACCATCATTCCCTTTGTTGGCTCGGGAATCTCAAAGATCCCTCAGGTCGTCTAGCACGATGAAGCCTTCGGCTACAAGATTTCGATGTCACCATCGTCCACAAATCTGGGCGGAAACACACCGACGCCGACTGTCTCTCACGTGCACCGGTCGAAAATGCCAACACTGACCTTGAAGTCGACGACACTTTTCTTTCTGCCGTATAAGCAACCGGCTTAGCTGAGCAACAGCGTCACGACTCTGAGCTCATCCCGCTCATTGACTACCTGGAAGGACGCAATTCCCACCTTCCTCGAAGCTTTGCGCGCTCACTATCTTCCTTTTGCTTCCGTGATAGAGTGCTTTATAAAAAGAACTTTCATCCTACACAAGCCATGTATCTGCTAGAGTGCTTTATAAAAAGAACTTTCATCCTACACAAGCCATGTATCTGCTTGTTGTGCCAACTACGCTTCGTGGTGACATTTTACGTGCGTGTCATGATGAGCCATCATCCGGACATCTCGGCTATACCCGCACGCTGCAACGGATTCAACGCTCCTACTACTGGCCACGTCTCGCGAAGACTGTGAAGCACTACGTTCGCACATGTCGCGACTGTCAGCGACGTAAGATTCCACCTTTACGACCAGCGGGACTACTGCACCCAATTGGCCTACCAAAGGCGCCCTTTCATCAGATTGGCATGGACTTGCTGGGGTCATTCCCCACGTCTTCGTCTGGAAACCGGTGGATTGTCGTCGCTACAGACTACTTAACATGCTACTGTGAAACCAAGGCACTTCCAAAAGCCACCGCAGCAGATGTTGCGCAATTTTTTGTTAACAGCATCGTCTTGCGTCACGGTGCTCCAGCTGTCGTCATAACTGATCTTGGGACAGCTTTCACCGCAGAGATGCTGCAGGAAGTCTTGCGATTAAGTGGCACGGAACATCGTAAAACAACGGCTTACCACCCGCAAACAAATGGGCTGACTGAACGACTCAATAAGACAATTGCAGACATGCTGTCAATGTATGTGGACATCGATCACAAGAACTGGGACACCATACTTCCCTACGTAACTTTTGCGTATAACACTGCTGTTCAAGAAAGTACCGGTTTCACACCTTTTCGCTTAGTCCACGGTCGCGACGTCACGACGATGCTCGACACCATGCTCCTGCCCGACAACTTAGGAATATACCACACGGATGCCACCAAATTCGCGCAGTGTGCAGAAGAGGCCCGTCAACTTGCTCGTCACCGTATTCAACATCACCAAACCGCAGACGCGCGCCACTACAATCTTCGCCACCGTGAAGTTATTTTTAAGCCAAGTGATGAAGTCTGGTTGTGGACCCCTATCCGACAGCGTGGACGTTCAGAAAAGCTTCTTCGTCGCTACTTCGGCCCTTACAAGGTTGTGCGACGTCTCAGCGACGTCACTTACGAGGTTCTCCCACAAGGCAATTCGAGAAGTTCCCGTTTCACCCCGCAAACTGAAGTCATTCACGTTTCACGTCTCAAACCATACTTTTCGCGCTGTGAATCGCCAGTGAGTGACTGATTTTATTGGTAACTTCGCGTCTTTCTTTTTGTTTCGTCTTTTCCTTACATTTGTCCTATTTTTCTTATTTCTAATTTAACTTTTGTCCCCACAACCAACTACGTTATTCCGCCTTACGCCATTCATTTTGCTCGCATGCTAATTTTCATCTAATTTTCTTTTCTTTTTTTGCCTTCATGTACAGCATCGAGACGATGCTTCTTGGGAGAGGGGGTAATGCCACCATTGATGAAGGAGCTACTGTGGCTCATACGCGTTTTAGGGCGCAAAGAAGAAGAGAACATCTTCGTTGCTCTGGTTCAAGTGAACTCCTGGCTGCAGGTCTTGTTTTGTTCGTGACAATATATATATATATATATATATATATCATCCACTTTTCTTTCTTCTTATTAACATTCCATTGGTTCTAATAACTTCCCCTGTACATTCCTTGGCATTACTGTCTGTTAGATCTCTTTAATATTGTGTTAAAACACGGAAAAACGAGCCTTTAGGTATACACTTCTTTCCCTTATTTAATTGAATGAGGGTTTCGTAATGGCGGACTTGGTGTGTTTAGGTTGTATAAGAGGGACAATTAATCAGCTGCCCGCTCATAATAAGTTCACGTGCTACGTGACGCCAAAACATGCGCATAAGAGTGTTTTCACACTCGTCGTTTGGCTTATAGATGGCGCTGACTGTCACTCCTACTTCTAAATTCACATATAAACCCAAAAAAGTGAATGAAGGGAAGGCCGCTGTGGTAGCTCAGTGGTTAGAGCATCGAACTCGTTATGCGAAGGTCGTAGGTTCGTTTCCTGCTCACAGCTGGTTGTTTTTTCATCCACTTTTCTTTCTTCTTATTTACATTCCATTGGTTCTAATAACTTCCCCTGTACATTCCCTGTCATTACTGTCTGTTAGATCTCATTAATATTGTGTTAAAACACGGAAAAACGAGCCCTTATGTATACACTTCTTTCCTTTATATATATATATATATATATATATGTGTGTGTGTAGTTTGGCAGTAGTACAAAGGAGACACAAGGTAACACAATATTGATTTTAGCATATACAATGTCAACCTTTTTGAGCTTAAGAACTTGACAGCAAAACGATAAATAAAACATATCAAAATTTTCTTGTTATACTTTTTAGCTACAGCTTTGTGAAAAAGTTTGTTGTCATCAGTGGCGACAGTGTCATAGAGAAGGCGGTGCTATTGTCCGGTTGCTTGGGGAAAGCGGAATGGCTGAAGGTGTTAGTATTTTATGTTTGAATTACGCCTTTGTAGCAATGGTCAGTGCAGTGCAAAAATAATTAAGCTGTGAAATGAAGTCAATTCGAAGAGAAGGGTGATGATAGAACTGGTGAAACAAAGTTAACGTAAACGTTCCATTTTCCTGCGAAATTCTAGCGATGGGAGGTATAAGTTCACTTTCGTCAAAGTAGTGCTGCAAGTATAGTTAGACTGAATGAATTGAGCGAAATTATGTTGAACAAGCTCGAATGAAAAGATGAGGTTTTTGTGGTGTGGGGTTCCTTATTGCTACATTTTATTTTAATCTTGGGGGTGGACTAATGTCGAGTAGAGCATGATGAATTGGCAAATAAGTTTTCAAGGTCCTTTTGAGTTCATCATAGAGGAAGTCTGTAGCAGTACTTTTTTTTACGGGTCTTAATTAGCTTATAGGTATGGTGCACTTAAATTACTGTTATGTTCAATTGTTTGCACTTCTTGCATCCTTTTCACACTTGCATATATGCTTAGTGTATGTGGATTTGCTTGATGTTTTGCACAGACCATACAGGCTGCTGAACTCAGATAGGCTGGGAAGCTTAATTATGGTCAGTAGAGCTCTTAACGGTGAATCTCGTTGAACCGAGCATTGGTTCATGAATGGTGAACAGAGATGATCGTCAACAAGCATGCGTTCTCTTCGTCCTCTTCATCATCAGCTTCTCTCGCAGAACACATGTGCCGATTTGTTCGGCATTGAATTGTGCAAGTCTGATTGCTGAGAAAATAAAGAAAGAGACAGAGGGAGAACGAAACAAAGCCTGACAGAAAAATCCTTGGTGAGAAAAAGTTCTTTGCAAGGTGTGATTTGTGCAGGTCAAACCATTATTCGAAGGCAAGCACCGTAACCACTCAACCATCCAGGTATGCGAGTATTGTACTATAGTATAGCAAGGGGATATAAATATAAGGAAAAAAACCCTATAAAAGTGGAGAAATGGGAATAGAGAAAGAAAATAAACACAAGAAACTGGAAGAGAGAACAATAAAGAAAGAGGAGGAAGGAAAGAGTAAACCAAACAGAAATGAAGAAGGTTGCCCAACTCCACACTTCTTTCCTTCAAACCTGGCACCACTAGCGCGGATCTGCCTTTATTTTTTTTTTTCTTATTCCCACGCCCTTCACTCTTGTGAAATGTCAAATAAATGATTGACTGACATAGCTGTGGTGTTCTACTTTTATTGCAGTTTATTCCCGGACCACCGTTTGTTTTCGGTGCCCTGCTGGTGATGCTGGCGTTGCTGGTGGCGGCGTTCATCCCCGACAACACGGGACCCACTGCCGCGTCAATGACTGCCTCAGCAGCCAGTGGCTCGTCATCGCGCAGCGCAGGCAGCTCGCGGGCAACGCACCAGGCCGTTCGCGTTGGGGGCTTGGAGCTCTTTCACCACGACGTCATTCACAAGCGCAGCAGCGACTGTGGGACGTTGCCGCTAATGCACGACACAGACCCGTTATAGTCGATCACTGCCACTGCGAGGGCCAGAAATGACGTTGCCGGACTGTGACCGGCAGGGGCTGCTGGTTGTGACGGTCACCGGCGCGGTTCGGGGACCAGTGTTTCATCGCGCTTACGTTTGCAGAGTTACACTCGCGTCACTTGCACCCGTGGTGCCCGCGGTTCACCGTTTCGTTCGGGCACGACGCATTGTGTCAAGTGTCGCAACTGCTCTGAGCATTGCCGCTTGGTATGCCTCCGGTGTAAATGTCTCGTCATGCTGCTTGACAGGTGGTGAAGAGCTGTTTGTAGTAACGAAGACCACAGTCTCCCCAGTCACTCTACCTGGCCGTGCATGACGCCGCTGGGTTGAATGAACACAGTGCCAGCTGTTGGAAATGAAAAAAGAAAATGTATTTCAAGATATATTTCGTCGCACGGCTATACTATTGGTACCACAACAGGCATCACTGCCTCACGTCATGCTGGCATCAAAATACTGCACCAAGGTGTAACGCGCAAGAAGAGTGATATAGTGAATGCTTCATTGCTGCAACGTTCGACAACTTCTGGTAAGAGCCGTAGCTCCACATTCAATCAAAGCATAGTCTCCTGTTCCTTGGAGGGTCAGCTGCGTCGCGACCATGGAATGTTTGCTGCTCTTACGGACAATAAGCTACCCACTGGACTGGCCGTCGTCATCGGCAATGCCATCGCCTTGAACGGTTGCCTCGACCACTGAGCATTTTTCTCTTTGTCAGAGTGGATCACATCTGGGTGTGTGTGTGTTTGCAGGACCAGAGTGCACTGCTCGTCCACTGCCAGACACCGGTGCCACAAATTGAACATTCTGTGCGTTGTATCCACTGGGAAGAGGACGGTTCTTGTTGCCCTGTGTTGCACTAGTGTAAGAGGTCTCATTTCGGTGAGCAAATGAAAACTGGCCCAATCACCGAATTTTCATACAGAAGCATCATCACCAGATGCCTTAGCTGACCTCGTGTCTGTAGAATGTCGTTTCTAAATCTCCACTGGCAATGTCATCTTTTTTTTAATAAGCTGCCTACTTTTTTTTCAGCTTTACCATTGTTGGCTTGCATTTTACAAGCTGTTTCTGACAAAAATGTGGAAAGCTAGTGATCGTGTCTATATGTCCGTACTGATTAGCGCTGAGAACAAACTGGTAATAAGACTCACCTTTGAAGGACGCGTGAGTTGTGTGTTGTTGGATGTTTGGCAGAGGGTATGATTTCAACGGAAGGTGCAATGTTTGCTGAGAGCACAAGCAGTATTGTTGTCTTCTCACCATTCTATTTCTTCCGCAGATCTTATAGCATATATTTACTTCCTCTCGCCTTCATTGCCTGTCGCGTTAGCGAGCAACACTTGCAGGGTTCTCTCGTGGCATTTCTACACTTTGCGTTTGCGTGCTATCTTTTCCCAGGTAACGTGGACGGTCTCGGTTTCTTTTTGGGCTGTCTTTGATACCTTATTGGTACAAGAGCGAGTGAATGGGCTGAGAATATGCCCCCTATGTTTCTACAACTGTAAAGAGGCATGTGTTGTTCTTGTATCAACTGTAATGTTTGTTGTTACTGAAGTGTTTGCCGGTAACTTTGTTTTTTCTTCACCAGATGGCATTGCTGTCTAGCTAAACAAGCTCCAAGTGTCAACTGCATTTGCTAGTCAAGAGAGTTGCACCTCGGGAATGCGAGAAAGTGTTTTCATGTCATTGCTTTCGAAAACTGCAATTCGGAGTTTTTTTTTTTGTTTTTTATTGTCATACGGTTGTCACTGTTTTCTTTTCTCTCTACTTTTCTTCAGTGTCTACATTGCGTGTCATGTCGCATTTAAGAAGGTGCCTCGCTTTTCCAGTGACGCATGCTTGGCTGCGGCTAGTCTGTGAAGACTTGGTCAGGACCGGCAGTAGCCGTGCGTGAAGTCCCCCCCTTCCCGACAGTTCCTTGCCATATTTGTTTTCTGATCCACTGCTTGGTGCCGTTCGTACAAAATGTTTGGTGAAACCGCTGCCCGCAGTTTCGGTGGTCTGACCGTCGTCTGTGCAGGAAATCTGTGTTTGCCACGCATCGAGTCATTTGCCATGCTGGACTCATATAAAAAGCATTTGCTGGGATGGGCACCTTGCTTTCACAAGATTTGTCGAGTGGCGGTGGCCGGCGGTTAGCCAAGAAATTTGCCATGCTGCACATCGTCTTCGAAGCACCCACCGTACTGCACCGATAGTTTGTGAGGCACCAAAGGTGCCCAGCACACATTCTTCTTACGTTGTTTTTGTTGTCGGAATATGCAGGGCACTGCTGCTTCTGCGGACTTCAGCGATTCCGCTGCAGCAAAACCTGACCTGTTCTTTCACGGCTCAGGAGCATTTGTTACAGTTGTAATTTTTTTTTTACTGTACTGTAGCTTGTGTCGCACCGAAACAACAGACTGTGTGCCGTGTATGTTATGCTCGATTCTGCTTTGAGAGCTGCGTCTCATCGGTGACTGGAAGTGAAACCAAAGACATGAAGAAGGCAATTCGGGGTTTCGAGTGCTGTTGTGCTTTATTGTCGTCCTGAATTGTGCACGCTGTAGAGGTGTGGTGACTTTTCAAGCTTTTTTTTTTTTTTGTTCTGATCTGTTAAACAGGCACTTGTCACTTGGGCGATTTAAAAGATTATGGCATGGCTGTATGCACAGGATGTACAGGACTGTAGTAAAATAAATTTCCAATGGAAATAAACACAATTGTGGTGGACACGCTGCTTTGGGAAACGTGAAAAAAAGGCTTTCATGTTTGGCGAGAGCAACAAATGTTATGACGGTGGACGTGAAAGAAATTTCCAGCCAAGTAACACGTGGTGAAATTACCGCTCCAGGAAATGTGAAAGAGCCAGCTGATGCTGCCTCAACGCACTGGTAAGACTACAACTAGTAAAATAAATTGCCACTAAAAGTAATGTTCATAGTGATAGTTGTTTTTTCAAGAACTGTGAAAGAAAATGTTTACCAAGCATTTGATAATAGAATAAATGTTACACCAAGGCACTGGTAAGACTGGCTTTACTGGGCTCCAACGAATTAAATTTTCAGTGGAAGTAACATGCATGATGAAGTGGCTGCATCAGGAAATCTGGAAAAAGAAAAATGGAAGATATGTTTGGTGATGGCAGCCTACATTACACTGGGGCACTAATGGAGGCTAGTTGTACAGAAGTGGTATCATAAATTCTTCATGGAAGTAACACACACAGGGAAATCGCTACTTCAAGTAATAGAAAAATGCTGTAATATCTGTCCGTTGATAGCAGCTAGTGTTGCACGAAGGTGAGAAGAAGTGTGCAGGGCTGGAATAAAAATTTCCACTGGTGAAATTGCTGCTTCAGGAACTGAGAAAAAGCCTGTAATTTATCTTTAGTTCTGGCAGCGAATATTGGAATCGGGCTCTGGTAAGAGTTGGCTGCAGGACTGAAAAAAAGAAAAATCAAATTCAAGGGACACGCGAAATAGTTGCTTCAGAAAATGAGATGTCAGAAACGGGAATGTCAGAATCAATCTAATTATCCGGAAGGTTGAGCCAAAACGGCATCTCCACTGCAGTATTTAAGAGTTTTCCCTCGTTGCCAGCACATCTGCAAATGTAATATCAATGTCAAATATAATATCAGTGTTTTGGATGTTGCAAAATTACTTTGAATTCTCCGAAATGCCGTGAAGGGGAATTTGTGACCACACCATCATAGATTGAAGAAATAAGCGCAAAAAACCGAGGCAAGAAAAGGACCAGACGTTCAGAGTGAAAGCTATCAACTGAATTTTATTGAACACCGACATATATGTGTGCTCGTGCAAAGAGCCACATGGTCAAACGCTTACGATAAAGGTTTTAGTGGTTAGCCTACCGGACGACTTCGCAAGTAGCAGCCACTAAGACGAAGGATTCAGCAGTTAGCGCTCAAGTAAGCATTTGAAATGCCTCATACCATGTTGTATGAAACTCTATGCCTCACACAATTCGAGGCTGCATTGTGTAAAGGCATTATTGATGATGAAGGTAATCATTTGCTAGATGTGTTTTTAGTATATTTTACATATGCAGAAGCAATTGCGGCCATTCTCTAAGGTCCAATTTTCAATACTTCTCGGTGCAATTGCGGCCAATTTCTGCAGCGTAACTCGCCAATTATAACAAAACTACCCGTAAGCAGCGTCATTGGCAGTCTGCATGCATGTGCTGCTTCACTGGCATGTAAAAGAAGAGTGCAAAGGAGAGAAACCGTGTAGTTCCCAAAATGACATAATGGTATTCAGCTCATGAAACGAACTAAGGGTGATTTTTCGTATTAGAAAAGTGAAGCCAGAAATTAATCGAGCCAACTCATGACCCTGTCCTGGTTGGTTTAAGCCACGGTTTCTCCGAATTAAAGACCCAAAATTTCTGCTTTTGGCTGTGAACAAGTGCCAAGCATGTATCATATTGGCTGCATATTTTGAACGTACGAGCATGCACTACCGCACACCGGCGTTACTTAGAGACATGGAGTTTTCCTACAGTAATTGTATGAAACTTTATCTTAGAGATGTTGGCAAAAGCGAGCATTCAGCTGGCGCCACTGGCGTCCGCGAAAGCAGCGTTCGGAAAACACGTGACTTTTACCACCGGAACTGACACCAGCACCAACTATCTGCAGCTTGCTCATTTTCATTAGAGTTCAGGTAAGTGATTATGAGTATTACGGGAGTACCCAGGTGGATGAATAGATAGATACATAAATAGATATATAAATTGATTGATTGATATGACCATATGATTTTGAGAGACGCCGTAGTGAAGGGCTCAAAAAATTTCGACCACCTGGGGTTCTTTAACGTGCACCCAGATCTGAGCACACGGGCCTTCATTTCCGCCTCCATCAGAAATGCAGCCGCCGCAGCCGGGATTCGACCCCGCAACCCGTGGGTCAGCCCCGAGTACCTTAGCGGCGGGGCATAGATATATGAAGAGATAGATAGATTATCAGATAGATAGATAGATAGATAGATAGATAAATAGAAATATAGATAGATAGATAGATACGTAGATAAATAGAGAGATTGCGGCCACTGTGTCATTTGTCGCGAGTCGTAGAGTTTAACGAGTGAACTCACTATTAAAAACGAAAATAATATTTAAAGTCAGCATGCAGCGACTCTAGCGGCGTTATTCACAAATACTTTTAGAGTAGCTTATCAGGCCTGGTAGGCAGGTATGTTTCGGTTTTGTGGTGTATTTTTTATGACCACACGACAGCTTCGCGACCCCGTGTGAAAACTCCGCAGGTTCGCTGTCTGGCTGGGCTCCAAGAAGAAAGCCGAAGAAGACCCAGCAGCGTGCGTCCGCACTGCTCTTTTTTCTTCTTGTTTACAATCCAGCCAGGCAGCCGACGAGACGAGCGGCTTCACAGCACAGTCCCCTCCTTAGGACATCTGCTGGACGACTCGCAAGCAGCAGCCGCCGTACAACGTTAATCGAGAAGCTTCGCGTCCGTCGACACCACGTCTCCCGCGCCTCGGGGGAACGGCAGCATCCCGTCGACTGGGGCGCTACGCTATGGGGGACACTGGGCTACCGGAACGCCCGCACTTCTCACTGCAGCGACACAACTGAGCGGTAGGTCCAAACGCAACGAGCAATCTGAAACCGCAGATGAACGATGCAGACGCCTCCGGGGTCCCGTGAACCCGCAGTCGGTCAGCTCTATTTCCACCGCCGTGTGTGTTTTTCCAAAACGCGTCCGCCGCGGTCTCGCATGTCATCGGCTCACGAGGTCACGATCGGCCTCCTTTTTTTAAACATGCGCCGCTGTTAATTTGGTCCACATTTCACCTTGCTATCTCTTTCGGGAAGAGGCGAGTGGGGGTCGGACGAGTCGCGCGCAGCACGGCAAATCCTGCCCTTTTTCTTTATTCTTTCCCTATCGCGCAGATGTTTGTTTCTGATATACGCGTTAGCTTGACGTACGGAACGGAACTTTTATTAACGCACACGGTTTGCTGACAGCTGTACGACTACACGACCTCCTACGTTGCTTTTTTTGCGCCCTCCAAAAGAAACCGTTCGATATCTCCGCTTTGAGCACTGAGGCCGCAGTACATACGAATATGTTAACATCTACGAGGCTAAATATCGCCCTCTTCTCGATTCAAGGGACTTGAAGGGAGCTTGAAACGCCAGCCTGATGTTTCGTTGCTGCTCCAGTGGCATATGCGTGTGCAGGCGTGCGTGGAATCGGCCGTGAGATTTTCCGTAGTTCATTAGCCATGTGGACGAGCAGCCACAATGCGATCTCATCGCATTTATGAAAAAAAAAAAAAGCGCACAGTATATGGTAATACCGACGGCATTCGATCGCAGAGTGGGGGGGGGGGGGGGGTCAGAAAAAAAAAAAAATACTGCCCCCAACTCTTGTCGCTCGTTGGGTCTGGTATAGCTGCTTTTCAACGTCCGAAGGTCGACTTCCTTGGTTTGTGCGGATACCAGATGAACATTTTTTTTGTCGTCCGAATACGAGAGAAACCAAGGCTGTCATGGTTTTTATTGTTTGGTGTGCACGTTTCGCGTCGAGGTTTTTGCTTTTGTGTGCGCTTCGCAACGCGTTTGTTGTCGCTAGCGCCGCGTGACTGGACGTGCGATTTTGTAACGGGGCAGCAGCTTACCACAAAGGTCTCACGTTGCAACGGTATGTGGAATGGCATGGAGCTCAAAAGGATCGCCGTATGCCCGTGTACGGATTCTGGCCGCCGCGCATTGACCCGATGTCGTTCGATGGTGTATCGAATGCTTTTTTTTTCGCGTTACGTGATGTAAAGTGAACCGAAAGTGCAATCGACCCGTCCGTTGGGCAATGACAGATTTGTGTCTACGTTCATGAAAGCGCGTTTTTTTTTTTTTTCTGACATGCGACATATGCTCTCTTCAAGCAAACAGTATCAGTGGGAAAAGTCATGTTTTGCATGTAGTCCAAAAAGCCGTGGACTTTTGAGCATAGAAAAAGACCGTATGATCATCAGTTGAAGAGTTATCGACGTTTGTCATTGACAATTAAGGCAGTTCGTTAATTATAGTGGTATCATTGTGATGCTTAGTTCTCCTTAATTACGTGTATCATTTTTTGTACTGTGTATAACCCACCTTTGAGATTCAAGAAAACCCACGTGATATATTAAACTCGTCAAATTGTAAAGGTAATTTCCGCACATCTAGCTCTGCTTTACGGGGTTTTGCAGAGCGTGCCTTTGTTCTTCTGACGACTCGAGTGAGCTCGAGTTGATAGGTCATTTGCCTCTAGCCAGCAGGTATGTTATCACTTAACTAGTTGAATGGGCGCAGCCGTTTTTGCCCACTCGGAGCCTGGTCTCTGTTGACCACCAAAACATATAGGCAATGTCGATTCATCCTCAACATTGGCCCACTGCTGGCAGCTTTCTTACTTTTTTTTTTCTGAAATCGGCTTATTGTAATGGCAAAGCGTAGGCCTTCATATGTAGCAGACAGTTGACTGGCACAATTTTAGCAGATGAATTGATTCCTAATGATGAAACTCTCTCTGCTCCTAAAAGTCATGTGTTCCAGTTCAACATTTACTTTCATATTGCTGAGTTGTTTGCAAGTGGTAGCATATGAACCAATTACCGTACCTACTTGAATATAACGCGAGTTTTTTAGCGAATATTTGCGCCATAGAGTCAATTCTTCCGTCACAATTGAATGCCGAAACGCTACCATTTTTACAATTTTTCTTCCTGGGCTTTATGAAAATTCACTCTTTGGATACGACTGTGGTCTTGTTAAATTCAGCAAATGCGGTATTTGCAGCGAGAGCAAGCAGTAAAGGCATTACATAAGTGCCCAATTTCATACAAGGTATTTCAGTAGGCTTTAATTGTGTAAAATTCAAAGCTAAATTACCACATTATATCATTCCCTCATTATTATTTTGCTATGCCGTACAATTTTAAAAATACATCTAACGACTTCCCAAACCATCATGGCAAGTCCATTTTTATCGGCAAAAATGGCAGCTCTACGGCGATAACTAGTGGGCACTTGTTGATTTAATGCATTCGAGCATGCACAATAATCCTCTGCCAGATCCTTAATAAAAAAATAAAATTTTATTTATAGGGTTCAGCACCCAGCAATTAGAGGATCATTTTGTTCAGTTGTGGTTCAGGAAGATCGATATCAACATTCTTATGTTTGATACCACAGTTAACTGTTTTGCCCATGTTCAAATGTTTTCTGTTCTAGATGTGGGCATGATTGCTGATGGCTGAGCCTTTGCGTAGGGTTGCTGGTTTGTCCATCAACAGCCCACATTTTCGATAGAGCTTACAAATTCGCATTTATTCCATGATTTTACAGATGTTGCATCAAGGTATGAAAAGGGTAATTCTGTTTGCTTAATGTTTCACTCGTCAGTCTCCAATTTCACCCTTGGGAATTTGTGAGAGGATATCGGAGTGATAAGTTTGAGCGAAACGCATTATTGTAGGTGACGAAATGGGGCAACAGTGATGTTAAAGAAAATGTCACCATGGTTAGAACAATTCACTGTTCTTTGCTGTCAAAAGGTTCCTACAGCTTGTGGTTCGGGTGTAAAGGTTATTCATTGTTAATTCAGCGCATACATTCATCTCGCCGAAAAGGTGTGTGCTCGGCAAAGACTTGAAATGAAAAGTGCGCGCTATTCCACCCCCATATTTGTCTAGACTGCTCTTGCTAAAGTTCACGTGTCGGCAGGCATGTGTTGATGACCAGTGGATATTGAGGGAAAGTTGGAGTGTTGATAGAATGAAACAAATTTTATTTGTTTACAGGTGCACACTAACGCAAGTAACACTTTTAGATGTGCGTAGAAAGGGAACTTTACTTGCAAGTCAACCATTGTGTTCGTAGTTTCCACACTTGGATGTGTTTCTTTTTTTACTGTTTTTTTTTCTTCAAAGAGGGTTAAAGCTTGCCTGTGGTATGTAGTGAAATTCGCCAGATCAGCAGGATCACTTGGAGTACATCACTTGCACTGTAAATGTCGGCGGGATGTCGATCACTTAATCTTAATGTAAAATGTTTTGGTTGAAGAGAAGTGTGTGAATTGCAAAATGAAAGTGAAACATAATTAACCCTTCAATGCCGTAATTATGATTCTGCTAAACAAAATGTAAATTATTCTCATTTTCCAGCTTTAAACAGCAAGCTTAAATTGTTTCCACAGTTAAATTTAGTGCACACGTTGAGGTGTGTCGCAAATTCTCTGTATGCCACAGAAGCGAAAACCTTGCAACAAAAACCGTACTTTAGGACTAAGTAACATGTCGTGTGCCATCTCTTGGGTGGGTTGACAGCAAATGAACAAAATTATTGACGACATAACTTTGTCTCCCATACGAGAAAGAACGAAGAAGTGAGAGCTGTTGTATGTGCTACACACTGTCTGTCGTCAACCACATAACAATTGATTCTAGCATAAATTCCTTACATGTGACGGTGGTAAATATTTCATGCTGAAAGCTACGTTTCCCGCGAGTACTTGACAGCTGTCATTAAAGGCAGCACACATTTTCATGACTTGCTGGTTTGATGTTTTTTTATATGTCGTGAATTCGCGACACTCCACAATAAAGGGTCAAGGCACATTCAGTGGGTGGAAAACTCATTCAGTACCTGTGACAGAAAGCTGTTTCTTAATAACAATCACCTTTTCTGCGCTTTCTTGTGTTGACAATCTGTTTACATGCGTTTTTATTTAGAATTCGAGGGCTTGCTTCTTTTGGCAACCAGGGCTGTACACGGTGTTTATGCTGAACTCAAAGTTTTTATGTTAAATGCAGAGGTTTTATGCTGTATTGATGGGCCTACAACCGTGTAATATGACACGGTTGACCGTTTTACTAAATGACTGTTTTGTCATTCGCTTTCGGGTGCAATAAAGGGGTGCTGACACAAAATTTTGGGGCCAAGATAGCCTGTGGGATTGATTCTCGTGAACATTCGTATATCATCTGCAAGATATCAACAGGGAATATAGCTTGAAAGGTATTTTAAATTAAATTTGAAGTTTGCGTGAGCAACCGACTTCATAGCATTATAGACACCATCGCAGAGGACGCCGAGGTGACCCCCTACTTCCCTCACGTCACCAAGCTACGCTCAACAAAACAAGTTAAGATAACGTCATAGCCGCCATTTTTGTTTTGCTACATTAGTTCCCGCACTCTACATTTTTCGGTGGCTGGTTGCGCGTGCATGGTTTTGGCGCACGCTTGGAAAGTTATGTGTTTGGTGACATTCCAGTCCTGTTTCCTATTCAAAAGTAATTCTTTATGCAGACCGTGCGGATATGCGTCACAGTTTTGTGTGCTGACGTGGTCAACAGCTGCACACGCTAGGTGGCAACAGTTGCACACAGTTTTTGGAACTCTCTCAAACCGAAACTGAAACAAATTGATAATGAGGGGCCTGTAAATAATTATCTGTCATTTGCTGCAGCAAACAATGTGTCGTGTCATGACTAACAGGCCCCCAGCAACGCATTGCAGCAGAAAAACGCGAGGCCAAGGTTTTTGTGTCAGTACCCCTTTAACCAATAGCGGCACACTCACTGGTTAGTAACGAAGGTCTAACCTGCATGTATTGTCTGCTTTTTCGGGTTGTCCAACTGATGCGACAGATTGTCTTTGTGTGCATGTTATGAATGCGTAAGCATTTTTGGGTCATCTCAACGTCAACTTTGTGATTGTCCGTCTATCACACAAGATGGTTATCGCCACAAAGAAAGTAACCAAGCAAAATTTTTCTTTGCGGGGTTTTGTTTAGACCTAGGCCGAATACTTTGAGTGCAAGTGTCCTAAAGATCCAGTAAACAGGCTCCAACTTTTTTTTTTACACCTCCAAAATAAACTCTCTAATTCCTGCAGAAGGCTCCAGTGATCATGTTTTGCGAACATCACGGCACCGCATAGCTGCTTCATTTTGTAAAACCATACCTGTGCCCTTTGCCTGTACTGATAGGTTGGCAAAACTTGTGAAGCTAAATCAGACTCACTCATGAAATATGTATTGCGGTTAGGACTCATTCGGACTCAGACTCGCAAAAATTTTCCTGAGCCGAAGTCGCTACGAACTCACTCACCCAAACATTATTTACCCAGACTCATTCAAACTCAGACATCGCAGGTCCATCTGAGTCTGAATGAGCCTGAAAGAGTTGACTCGTGAGTCTATCAGCCAGAGTCATCGTCGACCGTCATGGTAATGCTCTATAACACTGATATTTCACGTAATTGGTGCTCTTCTTGGCATCTTCCGATTTAGTATCTTCAAGAACGAGGGCTCTTAAACAAGTAAGGTTATTTTTTTTTGAAACATATGAACACATAAGATATATTTATCAAAAATCTTCTTGGATGATTTGGCAGGGGGGGGGTCAAGGCCCTCTTCTACAAAATCTGTGCCTCTGATCAATAAATATTTCAATGGTGTATGCAAGACACTGCTTTGGAATACGTGTCTGTAGACGTGAGCATAAACTTGAATCCAGATAAGGCGGATAATAATGCTGAAGATGAGTAGATATGACCAGAGGTCGACAAAAAAAAAAATCGCAGCATATCCACAGAGTGAATGATGATGAGTGGGGCGAAGCACTGGAGGGCTATATATATACAAATACTGTATATATTTATACAAGATATTCTAAATTCGTAAGGGGTAGCTGTACGTTGCTTCGGTTCCCCGTTCATTATAACATCTTTATGGTAGGTGAAGTGGTGGATTGGTGATAGGGCATAGCGGGATGTTTGCAAGGACGAAGTAGTGGGCAGTTTGCAAAGGTGAAACTATAGGTGGTCACGTACAAACAAGGAATGGACACCGTGAGACAATCTATGGTTCTTTAACGTGCACCTACAAGTACACGACCATCTTGCATTTCATATTGGCTACTTCTCAACAGTATTTATTTCATGGTTGTTAAAGTGGTGGATTGGTGATGGGGCATAGTGGGATGTTTGCAAGGACGAAGTAGTGGGCAGCTGACAAAGGTGGAACTACAGGAGGTCACGTACATACATACATGCATACATACATACATACATACATACATTCAAGGGATGGACAGACCCACGCCTTTAAGAGCTTTGCCCAAAAAAAAAAAAAAAATCGGACTCACTCAAAAAATATATCATGCTCTTTTGGGCTCACTCGGACTCGGACTAACCAAAATGTTCCTGAGCCCAACTCACTCGGACTTTGACGAATGCTGGAAAGAGTAATGCCATGCTGATACCACTAAAAAGCAGCATTCTAGGGAAAGCAGCAACATACAATAAAACTTTATGGTTACACATCACCCTCAAGGAAATTGGGGGCATTTTTCAGATGAATTTTTTTTAATTGATCTCCTCAAACCTACAGACCGTCAGCATACATAGCCGTCCCAGGACAGTTCACTACTGAGACATTGCGAGTTCGACAAACACATTCATTGTTTAACTATAATGGCTAAATGTGTGAAGCCAGAGCTCTGCATAGTATGTGGAGAAAGTAGGCATCATATTCCTCTATGCAAAAAGTGCACTCATTCGCCAAAACGCAGAGGTGATGTTACAAAATGGTATGATAGCCTCGCTTGCTGAGGCAGCATCCATGAATAAATTGTCATGACAACTTGTAGAATTCAAAAGATACAGGCACTTTTGGTCAGTCTGTGATCATGTGAGCATGGATGATGGGATAGGTGTAGATTTTTGCAAGAGCTTACTACAATGCTGCATTGTTACATTGTGATGCAATGATGCATTCCCGTTTGTCTCCACCTGCGTTCGACTTCACTTTTGCGCGTTTTCACGCAATCGTACCGAAGTCCATTTTAAAGAGGGATTGGAGCAAGGTTGGATCATTGCAATACAGAAGAGTCTAAAAAAACCCCCTTGCGCACCTGATATTATCCTGTTGGAATGCAGTATTCAGTGTGACTGTAAATGGAGGTCTTGTGCAATTGGGGCTTGCATGTGCAGCCTCAGGGGCTTTGATAGTTTTATCTTGTGTGGTACGTTTGCACCCAACAATAATTGCCGAGACTGATAGGCATGGCTTATCTGATGGTGACGTTGCCGCCTTTGGTTGCTGAGATAGATTGTGTTATCTGGGGCTCATAACCAATGGAGTTGCTGAACTTCAAGCGAAGGTGCATCTCTGTGTAATGTAGTTTGAAAATAAATCTGTTGATGTGGTTTGATGTTCTCTTGAGACCTATTGTCCCTCTACAGCAGGGGTATCAAACTCGCCTTATGGAGCGGGCCGCAGTCCCAAAATTTAGTCTCACAAGGCCAGGGACAGTGAAGATGGTGCGAGTGAGGGAGCAGGGGGGGTATAGAGTTTGATCAAATGGTCATCAAATCTTGCCATTTGAAAGAACGCTTTACCTACATCCCAAATACGGGTCATTTCTGAAAAGGTATTTGACATCATGCTTTCAAAAATCACTTGGATACCGATTTTCATAATCACTATGAATACTGAGCACTATGACACTGATTCTGAAAGAGTTTTTGTTCTATGATGATGTTTTGCCTCATAGTGACTGCATAAGGTGCTTCACGAAACAAAAAACGAGAGAGCTCAGTTTCTCTCTGTAGCTTACCCAAACAAAACACTAAATTGCAATAGGGGAGAAAATAATGTCAGTACTATTTAGCATAATCACAAAACTATTCCGTGTGAAGGCCACGAATTACATGTTTGAGACTTCTGCTCTATAGGGGTATTGGTTCTCTAGGTATTGACGGAAAACAGAGTTGCACCCAGTGCAACTCGGAAAGCTGAGTCATAGACCCAGTGTCCTTTGTAGGAGGACAAGTATTGTGGAACCATCTATGAATATATAGCAATTTTCTTCTTGCTTGGGAAGGGAACATGCTGAAAATTTGCACAGGTAGGTTCAACGTGTGACATCCAAGGAGGACCTAAGCCTTGGTGAAGGAGGTGGTCTAGAGAATGAGGAGTAGCGGGGGAACCAAAAGAAACTTAGAATATTCTTTAGTGTTATCCTAAAAAGAAACTTAGAATTGTTCTTTAATGTTATCCTAGGGTCACATACTCGTATTTGCGCGTTCATGTTCTTCCAATCTGTTCCTGTCACATTGCTGCAAACAGGGCTTTTATTTGAACTTGCAACCTTTAGCAAAGAAGTGATGTGGCATAGACATTAACCAGCAGGTGTAGGGTATCTTGAAAATATTTGCGAAAATAAAAAATAAACGTATATAGCAGTCGCTGCTTTCAGTTTGCTGAAATTTTGCAGCAAGATATTTCTATGACTGGGATGTGTGGTAATGCTTGGCATTGATGCATCAGTCACTGACTGGCTAAGACATTTCCTGGGATGTGTAATTGCTCACACTTAAGTTCATTTGCTTTAAGTAGAACTTGTTCGATTTCCTGTTAGTGCACATGCACGGAGCGGCACTCACTGACCTTAACTCACTCGCCCTTCGTGCTCACCTCCTATCACTCCACTTATCACTCGTACGCTGTGAAATGAGGGTGAGGGGGCATACTGATTTATGAGTATTTTGGCCTGTGCCTTGGAGTAGGGAACATTAATCTTGAAGGCTACGCTTAGCCATTCTGTGAGTGCCGAAAACATTGAGCGGAGATGCCATGGACACCATTTTGTGAGGCGCTATTCTGTGAGCGCCGAAAACATTGAATGGAGATGCCATGGCCATCATTTCGTGCGACGCTGTTTGTTCATGCATGTTGTAGAAATGTCATGCATATTTTAGAAATGTTTGTTTGCATGTTCTAGAAAGGACCCGCTCACAGCATGCACACTTTTGTATACTTTTGTATACTTAGAGTTCCTAATGCAGGAAAGTAACGATGCAGGACGAGCATAAAAAATTGAATGACCTAAACTCTGTAAAGCAGTCCTGCTGTGAAGTTGCAAAGGCAAAGAAAAAGGAAAAGGCAAGGAAAGTGCAACTTTTTTTTTTATGCCCTTATCGGCCCTAGTCAGTTCAATAACTGAATAAGCTTGAAAGTAAAATGTCCTTAGTGAGCACTTCTATATCTGTGACATTCGTTTCGGTGACTACAGTCTGCAATGTCGTTATTAGACGTCACTTTCACGACGGAATACGGCAAAAGTTCAGGAGAAGATGGAAAATACTGGAACACAGGTTGTTGCCAGAGTCAATGGTTTATTAAAAGGTCTTGTCTTCTTTAAGACTGCAACCTCTTGTCTTCTATTTGGCGATTTCATATGCAATTACTTCCATTAAAGCTTAGAATTTGGGCTGCACTGAAGCCACAACATTTCACTTTTTTGTCTGCCTGCCTCGAAACAGCACTGACTGGAGCGGCGGGCATGCTCGTTGCTGGAGCCCAATGGGAGAGGCCCGACGAAGTGCGGAATGATTACCTTAGAGGCCTGAGCCACCTGAATCCAGCATGTACGACTCGCCGGCGTCCCTCCAGGAGTGCTGCATCGACTTCATCTGTGATAACATTGATGCCATATGTGAGGTCCAGGCGGATGAGCAGCAGCAGGCGGCGCGGTGGGTGAATTTATGTGGTTACTTGTGTTCCGCTTTTTCTTGCATTGATGCAAAACCTTGGTAGAACCTTGATATATGAAACTTCAAGGGACCCTGCAATGCTTTTTTCAGTTAAAATGAAATAGTGTCACTAATAGCGCATGATGCTTCACGAATCTGATGGTACAAACACTTCTGGAAAGCCTCGAGTATGGACGGAGTTGCAGGCATTTGCTGCACGCTTCAATCGCTTTCTCCTCTCGTACTAGCAAGCACGCTCAAAGCTACGTGGGAGGGGATCACAAGAAGCAAAAAGATGCAGCCCTTTTTGATTGTGATCATGACCTTAAGCAATTCATTTTTTTTTCGAACCTGAGGCTTACTTTCAGTACGATTGCAAGCACGTGGCGGCGTCTTGCGGTGGTCACCGTAACTATGCTTCTTACGGTTGTTAAACCAGTCACTGGCGGTCACTCAAGGTATATGGTGTGGGGCATAATTTGGGTATATGTTATCGATTGCAGAGGGGGAAAGAGGCAGCAATTTTTGAGAATTAATTGTAAGCCACGTACTGCACTCTAAATTTTGGCTCGTGTGTTCTCGGTAGTTTCGGCTACCGATCGGCAGCGTTTACTGACCATGCTCTAAAGGTGTTGCAGGGCCCCCTTAATTAAATATACAATAAGAAAACACGAGGGCCAGAAGAAAATGCAACATGTGAGTGGAAACTATCAACTGAATTTAAATTCGAAGAAACCTGGGTACTCGCAAATAGAAAAGCAAATATCATCATTGCGATGTCATGAAGCCCCAATGCGACATAAATGCACTCTTTTTTCGCGAGTGCCACTGATGGACGGCTAATGCACACGCCTTTGGCGTGCACAGTGTGAAAGCCTTTAGACACTTTGTTTTCAATCTAACCCTAAAGCATGCCACAAGCTTGGCCCAACTTGGGATAGGACTTTCAAGTACATTACGCCAACTCGCCAACATCAAGCTCCTTGTGCTCAATGTATTCAAACACTGATGCAGGAAATTACTAGATACTGGGAGAAAACTATTGGACGTAACAGTGCTGATAAAAATTGTTTCCCCTCGCGTGAAGTGCAGCAGACGTAGTGTTTTTAGTGTTCATAATGGATCTTGTGCATGATGAAGGTATTTTTTTTTTTCAAGTTAGACTTTCTATTACAAGAAAATAATTTTGTCATTGTTGTGGCCACGATTCTGAAGTGTACTTAAGCATGGTTCATTTCAGCAGTTTACTTGCATGTGAAGAAATATAAAAAGGCAGCTAGTAATAACAGTTATTAAATTACATATGTCGCTGGAAAGGAGGGGAGGCAACATTCGCCCTTGGATAAGCTTGGGAAATAGGGGGATGACTGAGTGCTGCCCCTTGGGCCGAGCCGCCCCTCCATGTAACTGACAGCACTGTCAACTACAGCAGGTTCCAACATCATCCGTAGGTCTTCAGGAAGTCATAACAATCGTTGTCACTAGTAAAGTGGGCATTGCACACAAGAAACTACCATTCAGTCAACCTTTTGTGCGTACATGAAAAACTTTTGTGTTTGTATTATGTATAACATGTATTACGTATGTTTAATGTATTATGTTTAGATCATGTATTCAAATGCTATGTGTTAACTAAAGTCATTGTTTTAGTTGTTTCTGATAATTCCTTTGCATGCAATGTTGTCATTGTAGCACACCCCTACACAATGGTCAAGAGGCCTGTAACGTATTTAAAAAACAGAAAAGCTGTAAGCAAGTGACTTGCACCATGAGAAACTTGGACATTCGGCCTACAGTGTACATAAATAAGCTGATTGATGATTGGGATCGGTAGCAGCTTGCATGATTATTAGGCTCGGATTTGCTGATGAGCGTAGGTACTCGTTCCGAGACCCGGACGTCTTCTTCCACCGGGAGGTGTCACAGCAGGTGCTGGAGACGCTCAGCACACGTGGCCTGCTCAATGACAGCATCCTGACGCTGTTTGATGCACGCTACACCCGTCTTCAGAGGGTGCGCATACACAATGCAGCTAACGTCACCACCAAGTGAGTCACCTTGTACTTGCGTTCTACTGAGTCGTGCACTGTGTCCCAAGACATGGCACATGTAACATCTTCATTCGCAGTGAATGTGATTGGGTGTTCCTGCTTCATTTTTCGTATATTTTTTGTTTCCGCTGCATGGGTACAGAGAGGCATTTACAGCTGACTGCAATTGCCGATAAAACGTGTTTTCCGAGATCATGCAAACACGACATGTGTAATCATGACATGACAGCTCAACAAAAAGTCACAATATCAATGTAATTAAAGCTAAAGTTTTGCATAATGATTGATAACTTTCATTAGCTTTTCTATGTTTAGCACGTTAATAACTTTTTGATGTATAGCACGGTAGTTGAAGCAATTTGTACAAATATGTATTCTTTTCCCAGGTATTCTGTATGATGCCAATGCCTCTCATATGCCAAATTTACAAACACTCATCTATCATTTTTTATTTTTGCTATTCCTTATGCTGTTCTTGTGAAGTAGTGGCACGGAAACTACGTTGGAATTTCGCACGCGATATCTATCCACCAACCATGGAAGCTAACTCTGCGGTTTCATCAGCAGGTAATAATAGGAAACAAAAGTACCCTGCAGCGATAACAAACATTGACATCACGTGCGATCACCATTTTTTGTGTCCGTGTTCCCTTGTTATATGGTGGTCGTAATTTGTTAAACACCAGATATTATTATTATTATTATTATTATTATTATTATATTATTATTATTATTATTATTATTATTATTGAAAGAAAGAAAGAAAGTTGGTTGTCAACATGCGCATAGTGTTGCATTTGCAAGCATTTACTTCGCTCTGATCCTCATCACTATTGAAAACACTTTGTTAAGAATGTTTGCCGTCTTACTTCATACACATGGAGAAGTTCTGACAGCAAAAGAACAATAGGCTTCAAGCTTCTTGGAAGGTTCATGGAAGGAGAGGGGGCCTTCACCAGCCTCTAGCACATAATATTGGCAACAATGTGACTAAGAATAAGTCACTTGATTGTCTTTCAGTTATCGGCATCCCGAGTGTATTTGGTGCTGCTCAAATGCTACAGCTAAACATTAACCGAAGGGTTGCTACAGTGGTAGTTGCGACAGTGGCTAAGTGGTTACGGCTTGACAGCTGACCAAAATGACGCTGGTTCGGTTCCAGCTGCGGGGGTTGCATTTCAAATGGAGATTGACGCTCTGGAGGGGGTCTTGTACTGTGTGATTTCAGTGCACGGTAAGGAAACCCTATACTCTGTTTCAGAAGTTCCTTTAGCACTGTGGAGGCTACAAGGCCTCAGCCAATCGAAAAGCCGATTAGCCCCTTCCCATGTATTCATCCGCGCCCTGTCGTCTGCTCACCGTCTTCACGGCATCTGCTCGCCTAATTGTCCTTGCACGTTCATTGCATGTAACATGGGTGGTTTATTAACTTTAAGAAATATGTAAAACTGTCAAACAAGTCATTACACTTCAACTTCAGGAAGTTTGGCGTCTCAACAATATGATATGTGGCTCTACTGAAGAGCGGTAGACGCCCATACCGGCCGATAACTTCACTTTGTGGCTATAGGACCCTGCTCGTGGCTCTGGCATGACTGCTTCTCTGTCAAAGCATTTTCTCCCGTCTCTCGCTGCAATGCTTTTATCGTATCTTTTTTTGTTTCACCGAAAGAGCACCCGACGCGCGCGGACCACTTTGCGAGGTTGCATGTCCGATATTTGGAGATGCAGCGTTCTTGGTCTGGAGACACAGCCGAAGCCCTGGCCTCAGCACGTTAAGCTTATCAGATACGGTTATGCAAGCAGCATATTGCGTTAATAACGACCTATGTACCTGATGCTTCATCCTCAAATCAAGATGAAACAAATCGATGGCTGATTTCACGATTTATTTGTTGCTGTCAGGGCTGTGGATGTTTTTTTTTAGCAGGAGCAAGTTTGGATTGAAGCGGGCAATCGCTTCTGCATGGCGGCTGCCATGTTGATTTGTTACCATAGTTTCTGCCGGTAACCGACACAAATAATCGAATGCGTAGCAAATAAATGCGATGAAAGAAAACATATCTTGCATTGATTTGGTGCAACACACACCAAACACCAATTTTAGACAACCCTGACATCTTCAAGGAACTTATATATGGAACTATGTTTCACTGCGCAAGCGTCTGGCTTTCTTACACCCCGTAGCTTTGGTAGTGCTGAATCAAAGTGGTGAAACAGAGTATAGTGGTACCTATTGTCCGGCACTCTACAGTGGTCTGCCTTATAATCATATCAAAGTTCTGGCACATAGAACTCCAGAAGTTATTATTGATAAGGTGTGTGATCACTGTTGCATCCATAGATTGGTTATAAATTTTAATATTAAATTACTTTGCTTTGAACAAATAGTACAAAATATGGGTATACAAGAAGGAATGAGACGACCAGATGAAAATCAATTTTAAACTAAAGTTTACTCTTGTATATCGACGCCTATTTAATATTGAACCCTGATTTTAGAAGTACCTCATTGCACATGAATACCTCATCCTTTCTTCAAAATTATGAGGTAAAACAACACAAATCAGCTTGGTTGTTGCTCTTGAACTAAAGATGAACAGAATAATGCGACACGGGTAATAAAAAATATTCAAAACTGAAAGCTTGAAACTGTAGGACACGTGCTCAAACTCGAGCTTTTACCTTAATGAAACAAAAGGTGCCAGGTTATCTGCAAGATAAGTCCTTTTTGTTGCTGTGTTTTTGCATCTCACACCTTATTGTTTTGAGCATGGCATTATGTGTTCATATGGGATGTACTTTTGGGGTCAGTGTTTATAGATAAATTGGAGTTGATTTCTGATAATAAACTTCAGTTTGAAGTTAGTGCTTATCTGGTCTTCCTATCCTGGTCCTTCTTGTGTCCCCGTCTTTTGCACTCCCTGTTAAATTGAAACTCGTACAAACTTGCCCTAATTTCCGACCTTTAAAGTTCTCGGCTGGTAAAGTTAGGGACCCAGAGCGTAGCTGCCCACTTATCTTCCGCTGGCGTTTGACTGCAGGGGTCTACGAGTGCTGCGCTCGCACAAGCTGACGGAGCTAGAGGCCACTGGCCTGACCCGGGTAACGGTCAACGACCTGATCGGCTGCTTGGGTGATTGGTCGCTGGCCCACCTGCGTCTGCTCAATGTGGCGCGCACGGCCTTCACCAGCTCTAAGTTCTGCGTCGTGGTGGCGCTGTCCAAGCTGCGGGGACTCACCTCCCTCAACGTCAGCGGCACCGAGTTCAACCGTCACGGCCTCGACATCGTGGCCCAGGACTTGCCCCTCCTCGAGGTGCTCGACATCTCGGGCACTCGCATCAAGTGGGTGGCTTGCTTCTTTGGCTTTAGCTGTGTCATAAAAAGTTTGTGGGAACCTTAACCTTCGCCTTCAAGAGTTGAACATGATAGTGACATCCTGTCCCTCTATTTTAACCACTTCGTGCATATTTTTTATTGTATGACGGTTCTCGAGAAGTTGAAATTATGCATTACTATAATGTAATATACAATTTCAGTAAACTCTCAGTAAACGGAAATCTGTTAAACGGAACTCCTGCTTAAACGGAACTATTGCCTCTAAAATACTTGGTTTTGGGCCTGTAATCTGTACCCATGTTCACATCTCGGTAAACGGAACTCCTGTTAAATGGAACATATTTTCCCGGTTCCTTCAGGTTCCGTTTACTGAGAGTCTACTGTAATCAATGAAGTTGAAAGTGGCTTGTGTCAGTGAAACTTTCCTATATGGCTGCATTTTGTGTAATGGCTAGCATGCTTTAAACCACGAGCAATTAGCGCCCAGGAGAGCTTTTTGAAGTTGCTATCCACCTGCTACACGGCCTCAGGGGAATAGGTGCAGTAATGTGTGGGCCGTTTGTAGTGCATGGTTTGATTTAAACTACGAAGTTTTTACGATAATCACACATCCTCACATGGATGGCAACGTATGCTTGTACCAGGCAATGTTATGACAGTATTACATGTTATATCATGAGGCCTGTATACAGGACGTATGTGTTTGTGAAGCTTGAGTGCTATGTTCACTGCATTTCTAAGCCGAAGCAGTTCACTGCATTTGAAAGCAGACTCGTGACTTCGTGGTAGCACACTTTCTTGATACTCAAACAACCCAGGTTCGATCCTCACTCGGACGCAGAATTTATTTATTATATTTGCATCTTTGTCGATTCTCCGGTCACAGACAAAATGATTCTCTGGATTCTCCAATTCTACAGTCACACACAAACGATAACACCGAAGCCGGAATTTCTACGAAACAAGCTATTCAATGCTATTGCACACATGCACACACGTGCGTGCGTGCACACACACACACACACACACACACACACACACCACACACACACACTCTCTCTCTCTTTCTCTCTGTTAGGAATTCGCAATGTCGAGATGGCAGCAGTGGCGAAGAGCGGCGAGCAGTCGAATGGACTTTGCTGAGGCTTTCGCCCGGAGGCGAAGTAGCGAGGCAATCAGTTTTGAAAACAGCAACAAAAACGTATTCCTTAGAGAGCTCAAAACACTGCCCCCCCACCCCCACCCCCACGAATGCTGTGATTACTCGTCGCAGTCCCAATGCCAAGAAAGGATACGTGTCCTAATTGCAAGAAACTATCCTCAGTGCCATACGAGTATGTCTGAACCCTCTGAGGCAGCCAAAAAAAGCGATTCTGTGCAATTTTTTTTTTTCGAACAATTTTACCCAAGTGGTAGAGGCTGGCCTTCCTGCTAACATATCAGTTAGGGTACACTTCAAACAAAATACATCTGTTAGTGCAACGCGAAATTGTTGATGTAGTTTAAAGCAAAACGGAAAGAAGAGACACTTAAAGTATGCAAAACACGTCAAACCAGAAGGATGTGCCTCAACTTGTCTGAGGGAGTTGGGCTGCACTTCAATAAGCTCTGCTGAGACCATCTGAATTTGTGTGCAGCTTCCCTTATAGGGCACACTAAAGTTATGGTGCTGAAGCATCAAGCTCCACCTAAGTAAGCAACCGCTTTTAGACGACATGTTGTGCAACCAAGTCAAGGGGCAGTGATCAGTTTCTACTATGAAGCTCGACCCTGAGACGTAACATGCTAGCTTACCAATTGCCTAAACAAGGCAGGCGCACTGTTTTTCTGAAGTGCTGTAAGCTTCCTCTCTGACTCTGAGCTTTCTGCTGAGATTGTGTGATTAAGGCCAGAAAGACTGAAAATAGTCGTGTTTATCGTATTTCTAACGCAAACGACCTGGCCATATTTACATAATCAGTGCGCCTGCACATCCTTTTTTTTTTTTTTCGTATTTCTACCATGAACAGAGGCATGTTCTCGTGTGACAAAACGAAAGCATTGCTCCATGATAAACCGCCTCAATTTTCATTCCTTCATTGCAATATTCGCAGTCTTCGTAAGCATCACGATGATCTGATCAACTTTCTTTCTATACTTGACCATAACTTTTCAATCATCTGTTTGTCGGAAACGTGGCTGACACAGGTAGATGGCAATCTATTTGATCTTCCAGGGTACATCAGTGAACATAGTTACCGTGGAAATCAGAGAAGTGGCGGATCTGCTATCTTTGTGAATTCGTTGATTGCGTACACCCGTCGTCTCGATCTTTCATTCCGAAATTTATTGTGCGAGTCTGTATGGTTAGAGTTCGACCGGAATGTCTTGCCACTCAATAACAGCCCTACAATCCTGGCATCCATTTATCGTTCCCCGTCATCATCTTATTCGGACTTCTGTTCACAGCTAGAAGAAATACTTAATCTCTTAACCAATGAAAATAAGAACATCATCATTTGTGGTGACATCAATATAAACATACTTCCTCCTAGCTGTCAATCGTGCTCTGATTATATCAACTGCTTATTTAGCTATGGTTTCTCTTCCTTAATTGATGTTCCAACTAGGTGTGACACTGCCGGTTCTTGCACGTTAATAGACCACATATTTTCATCATCAACCTCTGATTACACCACCGGAGTGATTGATTATTCCATTACAGATCATTATCCCCTGTTCCTCGTTCTTGGTACCGGAAAACGTGCACAGCACCGTCAATATACGAAAAATTCCTTCAATGAAGCTTTATTTGCACGGAAAGTGCATGACACATGCTGGAATAACGTTTTTCGAGAAGATTGTCCTGAGAAGGCATATTCGATTTTTCTATCAACAATAACGAATTACATTAACGATTGCACAACCCATGTAACCCATAAGCACACATTCTCGTTTCCTAGGAATCCATAGATTACAAATGCGCTGCTGCGCTCAATAATAAAGAAAAATAATCTTCACAAAAAGGTTAAATTGCAGCCTTTCAATGCGAGCTAGATTTAAAAATTATAGCAACATTCTTTCTAGCGTCCTCAAACGTGCAAAACGGGAATATTATGAACGGCAAATAATTGAAAACGGAACAAATACTCGGCGTAATTGGGAGCTAATTAAAGAATTTCTGAATGTTAGGGGGTCCGATGCCAGCATTAAAAAAATAATTTACAAAGACAAGGAATACTCTACCGAAGCTGATATGTCAAATGTTTTTAGCGATCATTTTGCCGCGTGCCAAAATACGCTCTCACTTAGCGTTCCAGCCCATCTTCCACGTAGCCCTCAGTCCTTCTTCCTTCGCCCGGTTTCTTCTTCAGAAGTTTTTAACGTAATTTCTTCCCTCAAAGTTACGAGACCAGGCCTGGACTCCATCCGGCCCTCTAGAATAAAACTGGTTGCTGAAGACATATCATTAGTTTTTGCAGATATTGCTAAGAAAATTTTCAGAACCGGTATATTTCCTGAGTTGTTGAAACGTGATAAAATAATTCCTGTGTACAAAAAAGGCTCTCGTGATAACATTAACAACTATCGCCCCATTTGCATTTTGCCATTTTTTGGCAAAGTCATTGAAAAGCTTATCTACAGTCGTCTGATGCACTATCTAAACAAATTTAATCTTCTTTCCCCACACCAGTTTGGTTTTAGGAATGGTTATTCAACGGAACAAGCATTGCTCAAATTCACGGATAACATTAAACAATTTATTGACGAAGGGTTCGTTGTAGGTGCCATATTCATTGATCTAACTAAGGCTTTTGACACACTAGAACATTCTATTCTTCTGGATAAGCTCGAGTCTTTTGGTATTACTGGCCCAACTCTAAATCTTATTCGTAGCTACTTGTCTAACAGGCCACAAGTCGTATATCTTAATGGTCAATTTTCATCGACTAAATTAATTAACTGCGGTGTTCCCCAAGGTTCTATATTAGGTCCGTTGTTATTTCTACTATTCATAAATGACTTACCTAATACGCTTACGTTTTCTAAGTGTTTGCTATATTGTCGCAGTACAACGCGAACAAAGTACAAGTACGCCTTGAGGCAGCGAAAGCAGCGTGTTCTCAACAGCTGAGCCACAAGATCTTCTTTGTTGTTGAGTCAAGCCAGAGGCCCACTACTTGGTGTCTGCTAAATCCCCACATCATCGTTGTCGTTCACACGCAGACACGGGTCATTTGCCTCCCTCTCAAAGAGCATCGACCCGATGCGAAGTCAATAATGCAGTTTTTTTTTTTAAAGAAAAGTCTCACGCAATCACTCGCTGACGTAAGGCTTCATGCGCACTACGTGAACGAGTTCTGGATGGTGCTGGCGACGATTGGTACTACACGAACTGTCGGGAACAACTTCGTAAGTAACCTCACTCAGTTGTCGCAGCACTCGGTAAGGCCCAAAGTATCTTCTTAAAAGCTTTTCGGAAAGTCCTCGTTTCCGTACGGGTGTCCAAACCCATACTTTGTCGCCAGTTTGGTAGACGACTGTTCTGCGGTGAGCATTGTAGCGGCCTGCATCGTACTCTTGTTGTTGGCGGATCCGTAAACGTGCAAGTTGCCTAGCTTCCTCCGCGCGTTCCGTAAACGTGTTGGCGTATGGGTCGATGCCGTCACCTTCGTGCGGTAGCATCGCATCTAACATAGTTCGTACTTCTCGTCCATGAACGAGGCTGAACGGGGTCAGGCGCGTCGTTTCTTGCTTTGCCGTATTGTACGCAAACGTTATGTACGGCAAGATTTCATCCCAATTTTTGTGTTCAACGTCTACGTACATCGAAAGCATGTCTTCAATGGTTTTGTTTAGACGCTCTGTCAGCCCGTTCATTTGTGGGTGGTAGGCGGTGGTCTTACGATGCGCTGTTCCACTCAGCATGAGGACGTGATCCAAAAGAGCTGCCATAAATGCGGCTCCTCTGTCTGTGATCACGACGGATGGTGCACCATGCCTCAGTACAATGTTCTCGATGAAAA